GCCCAAGCTAATGGCGTTGTGCCATCGAGAGGCACTGTGGGTCTTCAGTGATGAGAGCACTCTCCACAGTCCATAGTCACCAAGTGGGCGTTACATGACAGGAAAACTCTGGAACTGAAAAGGGCTTTGAGAAAGGAAAAGGGAGGTTACCAGAAGAGTATAAGAGAAGCAAGTGTAATAAGAGTTGTGCCAAGGCGAACATCCTGAACAAAAGGGAGATCAGTAGGAGATGTGGCTGGATAAGTACTAAGGGATGATATAGGTGCTTCGACTGCCTACATGACAGAGTCTCAGTTTAACAAGGATCTGCTTGTGATCTTGGTAAGTGAGGTTTTCCATCGAGAACATGGATTCGGTGACATTGAATTACAACAGAAAGACACTAAGGCAGATGGATAATAGTCAGGAGACTATTAGCAGAATCCAGCATGGGCCCTGATGAGCTGAAACAGCCTGGAAAGAGGGTTGGACAGACTTCAGACATGCCACAGAAGAAACAGTTGATATCTATTTCATATGAAGGTACATCTTGTTTATCTGGAGATGGGGGGGGGATAAACCTGTGTATTCCTGCCGCACCCATGGCAACTTGCTGAGAAGAATCATCATCATTTCAGTGTAGACAGGAAGATTGGTAGGATGGCTCAGTGTGGGAGGCACTAGACAACAAACTTGACCCGAGTTTGATTCCCGGAGCCTAATGGTGGAAGCAGAGACCCAAATTGCCCCCTGAACGAAACACACACACACATACACACACTCACATGCATGCACGGATATGATGTAATTTAGACATTTTTAAATTCAATAAAGAATAAAGAATTTGGGACTTTTTTTTATCATTTGGAAGTAACTTAATATCCCCTGTTTGGCATCTTTAAACGTAGTGGAGATTACTGTGGGGCTGAGGAAAACTTTGATAATTTTGTTGTCAGTCTGATGTGATACCAAGTCATGTGTTCAATGTTACCTCACTCAGCATTCCAAGACTAACACTTCTGTTAGTGTCACTATCACACTACTCAGTATGGTTTCCATTTCTAATCGAGGGGAATTAGCCAGGTTAAGCAACTTCCCAAAGCTGCTTGCTCAGGAAGACACAGACTCTGGCAGTTCATTCCCCAGCAGAAAAACACTGATGGAGTGAAGGGAGGCTTTTCCTATTTGAAGAACCAGAATTAAAGGATCAAAATCTAAGGTGATTGTTCTCTGCAGAGGGCCAGAATTTTAGGGCTTGCAGCATGTGGTAGCCCATGTCTTTAATACCAGCTCCGGGGAGGCAGAAGCACACCAATCTCTGAGTTCAAGGCCAGTCTTGAACTAGTGCCACAACAGCAAGGGCTACACAGGGAAACCCTGTTTCGAAGGGGAAAAAAAGTAAGGCAGAATCTGAGGGTGTAGGCTGAGGAGTCCTGGCATTCCCTTAATGTAACAAGTTATGTCTTTATTCAAGGGTTAGAACAACTTACAGTTTTCTTCCATTGGTAGGCTAGACAGATAATAAAAATGATAGCAAAGGCTATTAAAATTTATGTGGCAACTAGCACAGACTGGAAGAACTACAAAGTGCATTCTTTAAACACAAGAGAATGGTAGGGTTTTTTGGGGGTTTGGGTATTTTTTGTTTTGTTTGTTTGCTTGTTTTTTTTTTTTGTTTTGTTTTTAAGGACAATATTAAAGGAAACTCCTTTGGCCTCAGATGCCTAAATATGCCGTCAAAGGATGGCTTCATTCTCAAACTCTCAATGCCAGTGTTTCCTGATTCCTCACGAACTTACTCTTGATGTAGAATATCAAAGCCAGCGGGATGGTAGGTGTCCCAAAATGTCTTAATTCAGAGAATTAGTGTTAACTGAGCCTGATTAGCTCCATTTATCTCTAATTAATTACCTTTATCTAATTAGACACTTTGTTTCCTGTAGACATGGAGTCAAGTAGGCTAGATTATTAGTGTAGTCATTGTCCCTTTACAAAATCCTGAAATTAATGGAACGTGCAAAAGAATCTGCAGTTCTAATTGCACAGGTGTTGCCTTATGGCAAAGCTTTATCATCTGATTACACCAAGGGATTATTAGTGACTTTTATATAGAGGACGAGCCTATGAAATGCACCTTAGCAACAGCTCATTAGTTTAAGGTTGTTACTGTATTATTTATTACGTTCAGCCTTCCCCATTATCTAGATTGATTCATGAACCAATATATTTTTCCTCTCCTTTGTGCAGAAAAAAATAAAATAAAACCATCATTATGAATAGTGCAGATGCAATGTGAAAAAATGCAAAACTGCATTTGCTCATCAACTACAACTGATTCTTTATGACAAAAAAGCTCTAAAGCTACATGTGATCAGAATCAAGTTCAGGGTTATTTTCTATGGAAAAGGAAATCTACTTGGAATTGTGGAATAGTGTGGAAGGATTAGTACATTTGTTTTAAACAATATGTGGATCTCTCGATGTTTTCACCTAACTGAACTGACTGGACTAAAATATGTGGAAAGGAAAAAGCAATTCTTTTCATTAAAATACACTTGTATTTATTTCTTCTCTGTATCTTTCCAAAATGGATTGATAAAACATAATCTCTATATGTGTGCATCACAATATTTATAAAAATCCATCTGTTCTGTATTTTTGTTTCTTATGACTAGATTATGACAACAGATGGAGAAAATTCACAAATTACACAATCTGGTTTAGCTGAAAACAGCAAAAATTTCAGTGCCTGCTTATGAAAAAGAAAAGTGGTTTTTCATGGCGAAATCAAGAGTGCTCAAACGACTGCCACCTCTCAGCCTTCAGATCTGCACAGCATTTCTCATAACTGCTTGAAGAGGTTCTATTTCTCACCATCGTGGGGTAATTAAGCAGCTATAAGCAAATCCTGCCACAATCCCATCCCAACACACAAACATGTTTATTGATGGCACAGTAATTCCTTTAAATAATTTGTCAACATAACTATGTTAGATGAGGTTTTTAAATCACTTCTCTCCCTGTTGCCCAGACACCACACCTTCCAAAAAGCCCGCTACTGCTCTGAGCTATATACATACCACCATTCATTTATTGCTGAATCTAAACTAGTGAAATGATAGTGGGTAGCTGTTACATAGACCATGACAGCTAATTTGAGTAGTAATAATGAATATTTAATGTCCCTCCTTTCAAGCATGAACACATAACTTTTCATGTGTGCCTTACTAAAATTATAACCATTAATCTAAAAATTATTGTTGTAACTGAAATAATAGCCAAGAACTGTAGATTATAGCCAAGTCAGAATACTGCACAAATATTCTGTGCACACACAGATGCACACATGTAGTAGGCTATAGCCTTCTGTTTTCATTCAATCCAAGACCTCACTTTGAAAAGTGATTATTAGAGTTTTGAGTCTGGATACAAAAGGCCACTATTTTAATCAAGAAATAAGCATAATAGCCAACATAATTTTCACTCCTCTTTAGATTTTGTTTAGACATTCATAATGTCTAAATAAAAATAACATGTATATTAAAATGTGACCCCTATAGAGACAGTATTTTTAAGATATTCCACCTAAATCAAAGAAAGAGCAAAGAAAATGTATCAGAAAGGTAGAAATTTTATACCTTAAGTCTCATTTAAAAAAAAAAAAAAAGATGTGTCTCTTTAGAGAAACCACAGTGTGACTCTGGAGGAAAAAGTCTGGGAAACACATGAACCTCTTTTAAAATGGGCTTTGTGCATTGATAGAGCTCTTTTTAATTACACTTCTAAGTTACATCATTCCTGGTATCTCCATAATATTTGAATCATTTCATATGCCTGAAATATTGCAGAGAAACATATCCATTTCCCTTGCTGGTTGGATCTGCTCTTCTTGTTACAGGAGAAGCGAAAGCCAACACCATTGTGGTTGCAAATATGCAGTTCTACAGTGAATCTTAGCGCATGTTATTAATGTTTTTAAAAGTGTGGTGGGTACTTACAAAATTCAAGAGGGAAATGGCTTAATAATTCGAGGAAAGTACCAAGAATAACCTGAAGGTTCTCCCTCTGTAATCTTCTTTAACAGACATGCAGTGTGTAAGCCAGGCTGTTCACACCTTTAATTCTATCTAGTACTGTTGTGGGATGGAGTGGGGGGATGGAGTTCAAGGCCAGCCTGGGTTACACAGTGACACCTTGTTAAGTGGCACAAGGTGAAAAGACAGGGAAGGGGAGGGAGGAGAGGGAGAGAGAAATAAACTCAGGGTCTAGCTGAATGTGCATCACGCTAGATATCCAGGCCATCTATATGGTTCTGTGTCTTCAGGACTCCAGTTTAAAGGCCAAAGGCAAGTATGTCAGGACACAATCTCCAATTATGTACAGAGTCACTGAATGCATTTCTAACAGAGCAAGAATTTTAGCCAAAACCAGGGCAAGTGAGAAAAGCAACTACATATCCCCCCAGCAGACACGGTGCTTCAGATGTAAGATGGCAACGTCCTCAGGTCACCTGTGTGAGGACCCCTTACAGAGCTTCCTTTCTTCACCTGGGCTGCCTTGCTCTTGTTTCATTCACATGTGGCCTTTGTCTCTGCAAGTCCTCTGGCCTGCCATGGTAGGTTTCTCTTCATAGTAGATATTTATAAAGAAATCTATGCCAGTTAATTATACCCCCAAATAAACGAGTTTATTTTGTTATGTTGCATATACAACACATTGGTAATGAACATACATTCAAATGTTGAGAATGGATCTCTTTTCATCTGCTGTGTTCTGTGGCTACTTTATCACATCAAATGTCAGTGGAGAAGCTTTGGGTTAAATTCCCTAGGACCCAGTAGTCCTGAACAAATGCAGAGCATGGCAGAAGATGCAAGAAGAAAAACACAAACAACAGACAACAAGAAAGAGAAAATAAAAGGGTTTTCTTTCTTAAGGGGTGGGGAAATGCGCTTGTGGATGGTGACAGAGAATAAAGCTGCAGTTGGGGGTATCTGAACTCACAGAACAGTGGTACCATGTTAAAACTATGTCTATTTATTTAGCTAGCGGGGAAATGTAAGCAATAGGGCACACAGAATGAACACATGGAACCTAATGTGCTCACACACCCTCTCTTGTTCGAAAAGTTGTCTGCAGAATAGTGCAAAGCCTCTTCCTCCTCGTGGGCCTGAGATGTCTGCTGCCATGCTGTCCTCAGCAGCACTGTGGGGCGGTGACTAATTGCCCCTGTAAATCACCGAGCGCCACCATGCTACTCCGTTTATTTTTCTGACAGTAATTTAGTGTTTGCTCTTTCCCACACTTGTCATCCCGTGTTTTTCTTCACATTAGAAGC